CGGGAAGCCAGGCTGTGCGCGGCGGGCAGGGACGCCCAGCCCGGGTAAGGGGAAGGGAGGCACCGGACCTCGGCCCCACCCACGCCCACGCCCACCGAGCGCGGCCCCGCCCCTCGCCCCGCCCACCTGAAGTACGCCAAGATGAGCACAGCCACGGTGAGGGAGGCCAGGGAGACAGAGTAGCCCACGGTGTAGATCATGCCCAGGCGGTCAAACACCTCCTGTGCCAGTGGGGACACACCGTCAGAGCCCTGGGACTCAGGTGGAGGGTAAGAGGCCAGTGAAGGTTGCCGGAGGAGTCAGGCCTAGCTCAGGGGTCACCAATGGGGTAGGGTGACCTTATCCAGGTCAGGTTGGGGAGGGGGAAAGCTCGCACCCGTTCACGAGTCTCATTGGTCAGGAACTTGACACACTCGCTGTAGTTGGCCCATGTCCGGTTGTGCCCAGGCACCAGTTCCCAGCTGCCATTGCGGTCACACCGACGGTAGGCATGGCCTGCGGGTCCATGGGGAGGGTCAGGGCAGGCAGAGAGGTCTGGAGCCCTGAGCTCCAAGTCCTGGCACCCCTGTGGTCCCCACCCTACTCCAGCCTGCCTTACCTTTGTGATTGAAGTCATAAATGTAGTCGGGACAGGGCACGGCCACCACCTCACCTGGTGCCCCCAGCGGCCAGCAAAGGATGTGGTCCCACTCGGGCAGGCAGGGGCGCCCTGTGCCCACAGAGACAGACAGACAAGGTGGGGGACACCAGTCAAGTCCATGGTTAGTGACCCAGAAGAATGAACACACCTGTGGTCGCTGGCTCCCTCAGGGACAGGTGTGCCCCAGGACTGGAGAACTCAGGCCTGGAGCATTCTGGAGAGAATGTATTGAGCCTTACTACCTACTGTGCCCTGCACCCACCTGGCCTCATAGAATTCACCCACAGCCCCTGTATGCAGGTACTGGCATGGCCCTATTTTCTAGATTGACTGGTGGAGGCCAAGAGAGACAAGTGATCTGCTGAAGTCATACAGCCTAGGGCCCTGCCCTCCTCAGGGACTCAGCCCCTGGCCGGGCCTTTCTCTTTTTCCTCTACTCTTGGTCCCACCTCCAGGTGTCCCTGGAGAAGGGGAAGTTCCCAGACTAATTCCCTCAGCTGAGAATGCTTTCCGTGTGATCGTTGCCCAGGGACCATGGACAGGAGGCAGGAGGACTAGCTTCCAGTGCCAGCTGACCTCATGCAGATGTCCACCCTCTTTGTATTCCAGCTTCTTCACCGGGTAGCTGGGACTGACCATATCAGCCTGTGCTTCCACCCCCATCCCAGACCCACCCTGAGCACCTGCTACAAGACTCCAATGATCATTCGTAGGGAAGGTATCATCCCCCCAAATCTAAGTGCTATCTGTGGGATTCTACCCTACTTTAGGGCTCCAGCCTCACAGCAGAGCTACTAAGTGACCTTGGAGGGTCCCCGGCCTCTGAATCTTCTACTTTCCACCCCCCAGCTCCCTTCTTTCCCTCTGCAGGGCTCCAGCCACAGGACTCTCCAGCCATCCTGGAAGGCTGCCTTGATGGCTGGACCCACCCCAGCCTGGTGAAAGGCTCTCTGTCCTGGGCACCATATTCCCAGCCCCGCCTGGCTAGGCCCACAATTCCCTCTGGTCCCTGGGGAGCCACAGGGTGACCACAGCCTCCCAGATGTGGCCCATCTGGAATCTGCTGCCCACCCAGCCGGTTCAAACCGGCCCTGTGGCTGCAGCCTGGGCTCTGCGTTTGTCTCTCCTTACCTTCCTGAGGGACAACACTGCCCTGCATCTTCCTCCCTCTCTTTTCTTCTCCCCTCCTTGTCTCACTCTCTCTGGCCCCACTCGTCCGTGGCTACCATCCTCTCCTGCTCTGTGTCTATGGCCCAGGATACTATTTTTGATGGACCCTCCTCTGACAGAGTCCCAGTCCCAGTTTGTGCCTCCCGGTCCCCTGTCTGTCTCTCCCTGTCTTTGTATCTGTCCCTGCCCCTCTGTCTCCCAGGTTCTCTGTCATCTCTCTCCATGGGAGGGGCCATAGCCCTGGGGCCACCGCTGGGGTAATGTGGGGCAAGTTCTCTGCCCAAATCTCCTGGGTGTCCGGGCCCATCCAGCTGCCGGCCCCCTCCACACCATACCTCCTGGGCTCTGTCTCCTCCCAGCCCCTCCCCTGCTTTCCTAGGGAGGGGGCCACAGCCTCTTCTTTTCCACAAGAGCTGAAGAGCATGAGCTCACTTGCCGGGGATCGAGCGGCGGGGTGGGTGGGTCCTAGGTGGTCTCCCATGGATGCATGGAAGCACAGACATACCTCGGCGCCTGCTGCCAGTGGGCGCCTCCTTGTCCTCCTCGGACTCAGGGTAGAGCTTCCCAGATGCCTTGTCTTTCTTAGGCTTCCCTGATGTGGATGCAGATGCCCATCCTTTGTCTGATTCCATTATGTCAGCTGGAGAAATCAGGGCAGTCATGGCTATCAGTTGTCCTACGGCAGGAGACCCAGGGCACACTCCTGCCTCTTTGTGCATTGTGGGTTCATCCCTGTCCTGCTGACAGCCCAGGCCATTGAAAGAGCTGAGGTAACAGGTGAGGAAGCGCTTTACAAACTGTAAAGTACTTGCCAGGTGCAAAGTAAGCAGAGGGTATGGAGACTGTCAACAGGAGGTTCAAATAACGAACACCACGCGGGCGTGGGATCAACTAGCCGGCCGAGCAGTAAATGTGGGCAACGCACGGGCAGAGGCGGTGTCCTCCAACCCAGGAATCGGAGCCAGAGCCTGTGCAGGAGGACGAGGCCCCACCAGGGGGCGCAGGACAAAAGCGGACGGTAGGGGTGATGTCAACGGAGAGGTTAAACTGTGAAAACGCAGCCTGGCCAGAGCATTGTGCAGCTCAGGAAGCTGGCGGTGTGGACGATAACAGCAAGAGTGTGCAGCTGTCAAGGGTGTTCAGGCAAGTCTACCTACCCGTCCGTCCCCTGCCCTGAGATACTTGAGTTAAGGGTTCACAGGGTCCACAGAGGGACTCCGGAGACTGAGTTGGGCTGGCCTTTCTCTCCAGTAGAGAGATGTTCAAGATCTCTCTCCCTCGCTGAAAAGTCTCCCTCATTCTCTGACTTGTGTCCCTTCAGTGACAGCCTGAGCAGGGCCCCTGGCCCTCCCGTGTCAGGGTCTGTGGCAGCAATGGGAAGCTGAGGGCAGACGCCCCAACTGGGATGGAATGGCTGTGCCTGATCCTTGGGGCATCAGCAGGGAGGGGGTAGCAAGATGGCGTAGACCAGGAAGAGAGGGGCTCCATCAGGATGGGGCGGGCTGGGGCGGGGCAAGGTGCCTCCAGGCTTCCACAACTAGGAAGAGCGCTGGGACCCAAAGAGAGGGGGCCCACCTGACCCCCAAACCCTGAAGTCACCGGGGCAGGGAACCAAGGAGTCACCAGTGGGGCCAGTGTGGACAGGGCTGTGACCAAAGAGACCATGTGAATCCCTGTGACTGTGAGCAAAGTCCACGTGCTACAAAGTGTGTCACTGTGTGCTTGGGTCCCCGGCAGTCTGAGAGCCAGCTCCAGACAGGAAACTGTTCTTGACAGCCAGTCGGGGGGGCGGGGGGGAGGGTGGGTCTGGGCTTCTTCCAGGTCCATGAGACTGATCAGACAGGCGGCAGAGGCCCGGATGGGTGCTAATGAGCTCCCATCTTCGCTTCCAGGAAATGGACTCAGGGCAGGATAGGGCAGGAGGCAGGACGGAAGCCCCCCCCTTCACCTTAGCACAGGTCCCTGGAGAGGCCGCACTGGTGGGCAGCAGCCCTCCCTACCTCAAATCAAACACCCTCTCCCGGACAGTAACTATGACTCAGAGTCCCAGGTACCCATCCCTATCCCTCTGTCATCCTCCCCGTCCAGCCCCATGCACCCCAATTCTCCTGACCCTGGACACCTCAGCCTCGTCTTCTGACCAGGTGGCCCTCTTCAAAGATCTACTTATCCTTCTGGACCTTCCTTGGATACCTCCTCCTCCAGGAAGCTGTCCCAGCGCACCCCAGTGGGATTTGGCACCCTAGTCAGTGCCCCTGATCCTGGTGTGCCTTGCCAGATCTAAGCCTGTGGGGATGATTCGGACTGTGGCTGCCTTCATACCGCCCTAACCCTGCCACGGGAGGGAAGGCTCAGTGCATTTCAGTCTGCTGACTTTGATGACACCTGACCCACCCCACTTTGGCCTGACCTCCCCTTCCAGCACCCCCACCCCCACCCCTTCCCTGGTGCCACTTGGTTCCGCATCCTAGGCTCTCATCTTCATTTAGACCCTCCCTCTCTCGGACCTCGCTTCCAGACCCTCCTTCTTTGGCCCCGCCTCCCTCCGGCTCCGCCCCCACCTGGCCTCTGCAGGACTTCTTTGAGCCGCTTCTGGCATTGGGCCTGGGCACGGTGCAGCAGGAAGATCTGCTCCTCTTTGGTCATGACGTCATCTGCATCCACCTACCAAGTTGAACGTCAGACTGCAGGCAGGACTTACCAGCTCAGAGGCAGGTCCTACAACCATCCCAACCTCCCTGAGGGACTCCCGCACCGCACCCCCCCCCCAACCCTTTCCAAAGGCCCTGAGTCTAGAATTTGGGAACTCTGCCTTACAAAGCTCCCATTTTACAGATGGGAATCTGCAGCTCCAAAGGGTAGGGCCTGTCCCACCAGAAGGATAAAAGAGGGAGGGGAATGTCCCCTGCCTGTCCGCTAGTGACCCTGTAGGCTGCAGCCATTGATGCTCTCTGTGCAGTCTGTTCCCTAAGGGTACATGGGAAAGGGATGGAATGTCCCGGGATGGATCCTCACAGGATCCTGTCTGTTGGGGACCTGGTAGGGAGAGGGGGTGGATAAGGAGTGGTGAACTCTGGGGAAATAAACCAGCCCTGGATTCTTTCAAGCCCTAGTGCCCTGGGGGACCTCCGGAGTCACCAATTTCCATCCTGGCCCTCTCCCCAGTCACTGCTCTCTGCAGTGAATGGTGAGTGAGTGCCTCAGCCGCTCCCACCCTTGTGGTCCCAGAAGCTAGAGGACTGAGGAATTGCTGGCCAGTGGTCTGGTTGGGCGGACACTCCCCTGCGGGCTGTGGGTGGGAGTCACCCACATCCCACTGCTTATCTGGAGGCTCCTTCCACCCAAGCCGACCCTGTGTTTTTTTCTTTTTTTAAGTGTACTTATTTTGGGAGAGAGAGCGGGAGACAAAGAGCCAATCCCAAGCACCTCTGCTCTATCAGCGCAGAGCCCGACACAGGGCTTGAACTCACGCACCGTGAGAGCATGATCTGAGCTGAAATCTCAAGAGTCAGATGCTAAACCGACTGAGCCACCCAGGTGCCCGACTGACCCTGTATTTTGACGGTGCCAACAAGAGAGTATCAGTTCCCACTGTTTCCTCTGGAATATACTTCCTTCTTTTCCTTCCAACCTGTGCACCCTGGGCACTCGCTGCCACCCACTGGGGTTCCCTGGAATCATTTTGAGGAGGAGAACAAGATCATCACGGGCATCGGGGTGTGGTCGCACCCTGAAGCTGTGTCCCCCCTACAGGGTTGGAAGCGGGTCAGAGTAAAGGCAGCATGCTGCCCTGGGGACGGCTTAGTGTGATCAAGTCTAGCCACTTCCACGAGTGGGACCCACAGAGGTTAATACATTCCCCTCGCATCCCCCTCCCCCTGCTGGGAGCCGGGTCCCCTCAGACACCAGGACAGGGACATGTCTGGCCCCTTAGACCCCTCAGCCCCAAGAGCAGGGCTGTGTCCCCTCACACTCCACAGGGCAGAGCCTGGCTCCCTTAGCCTCTCAACAGGCAGAGCTGCTGCCCCTCAGCCAACGCATGGCGGGGCCGGTCCCTTGTCGGAGGGGAGCTTTGCAAGGCGGAGAGCCAGGGGGAGGCAGGGGAGGAAGGAGGCGGGCTGGGGCGGGCTGGCCGGCCGGGGCGGGTCAGGGAGCCCGGCTGCTGGGAGAAGTTAATTGACCGCGTCTCTCGGTGGCAGCAGCGACGGCTTCCAGGGCCAAGGAGTCTCCTATTGGCTCGGCCGGACTTGGGTTCCGCTGGTTTTACTTAGCGGAGCGCGTGCGCGTCTGTGCGCGTGCGCGTGAGGGGCGGCGCGGCGTCCAGCGGCCGCGCACCCACTGCGGGCCGGCTCGCGCGCTCGTGTGCGCCCCATCCCTTTAGTTCACGTGGGGACTGTCCCGCATGCATCCGGGGACGAGCTCCGGTGTCTGGGAATGGCGTACATGTTCCCGGGCAAAGGTCCGCGTGTGCGCCCCTGCAAGTGCGGGCCGCGTGGCGGTTCCTTACGGGCACCATCAGATGTCCGTGCTCCGTCTCTGCAGTCTGAGTTGGACCCTGAGATCTCAGCTGGATCCAGTGCCCAGGGCACCCCGGGAAGGGCTGGGGCAGATTGTCATGTGCTCCCTAGTGGCCCCCACACCTCCTGTTTCCTCCCGGCTCTACACGCTCCTCCCTGAGCTGCAGCGGAGCAGGATGGGGCTTGAGGGAGGACAACTGGGCCTGCCCCAGTTCACAGTGCTCCAAGGTTAACCAGAAGTTCTCTTTGTGCCTCTGGCATTGGGGGTCCAGGCTCCTGAGGGGTCTGATCCCTGCATAGCTGAGCTGCTCACCCCAACCCATGATAGCACCCCTTCACTACCATTTCCATCATTACAACTGGCACCTCCATCAATAAACGCCACCACCATCACCACCAACAACCATCATCACCTTGACCGACAACGCCAACACAAACCATCACCACCCCCATCACCACCGCCACCTGCACCAGCACCATTACCACCACGAGCACTAATTATTACCAGCAGTGTGACCGCCATGACCACCATGAGCACCATCCCGGCCAGTAGAGCATCATTACCATCACCGCTGTCGCTATCCCCACCAAAGGCAACATTAGCACCATCACTGCCATCACCATTATTGCCACCAGCCCCATAACCAATGTCGGTACCACCTCTACCATTGTCTTATCCTTACTCCCTCGCCGTACCCCCCTCCCCACCCCTTCTTCTGCCCAACTCCATCTCTCTCAAGACAAACAGATAATGCCCCATCTTTTTGCCAGCTGATGGAAAGCTCCTGAGTGACTGAAGCTCCTACCAGTCCCCAAAGGCTGGCACACCAGCCCTCCTAATAGACAGACTAGCCCACTGATGTGAGCAGTCATGGGTTGAAAACTGCCCATTCGGCAAAGCGTGCTGGCTGGGTGATGACCGGGAACTAACCACACGCTCCCTCACAGGCCCAAGGCGTCCGCTCAGCCTCCACTTACTGCTGCTGCTTTATCCTCTCTATGGCCAAGGGGAGGCACCCCTCTTTTCTGGAGTCTGGCTTCCACGGTGAGGGTGGGGACACTCAGGAGAAGGGAGACACCTCATGGCCCCCAAACTTCTCCATTTATCCACAGGGATGGTGGCCCCACCTCTGACCTCCCTGAAGCTGTAGGAGCCATTGCCACTCAGGACTGCCACTGCAGCAAGAACCCAAGCCAGAATCAAGGAAGCACTTTCCCAAGGAAAGGAGGACAGTTCCATGCCAAGTTCATTCCCACTGCCCTTGAGTACAGCTCCCCTGCCCGCAGTGCCCCCGTTCGTCCTTCCCTCCAGCTGTGCCCTCTCCTCATCCAGGGACATTCTGCTGGACCTTGAATCCCACCTCCACCACTGATGGGCTGTGTGTCTAGGGAAGTTGCTTAACCCTTGTGCCTCAGTTTTCCACCTGTGCGAACAGGGGGATGATAGGGCTGTCGTGAGCATTCAGTGAGGTACTGCATGGATAGCCTGGACAGGGGTTGGGTCGGGGCCGAGCTGGTCGCTATAACTGCTCCCGTTAGCAGCGCCACCACCACCAAGTCGTGGCTCTCCTACTTGCTATGGGCTCCCCTGCTGCTGGGCACTGCAGGTGGCTCCAGGCTGGGGACCTAGAATGGCAGAGGGAGACCGGGTAGATGACTAAGTCCAGGGACCCACAGTGAGGGGTGGATGGGAGGCGGGACTCCAGAAGGTGGGGGAGGAGGGAGTACAGGAGGGCCTGCTGGGTGAAGTGTGCCTGGTGAGTTTTTGGGGCGATCCAAGCTGGATTCCCAGTAAGATTGCAAGTCACTGCAAGGCCCCCCAGGCTTGGGCTTGGCGGGTAACAGGGTCCTTCATCTGCCTCTGCCCTGACTGAGGAGGCCTTATCTCCCGAGTGTGAAGGGGAAAGCGAAGGCAGCTCAGTTTCCCCTCCTGGCCTGTTGACTCTGTCTGCTCCTCCCTCCCCGGACCTAACCAGCCCTTCTTCCCCTTTCCCAGCAGAGTTCAGGTCTTTCTGGCCCAGCTCCTGGTGCGGGGGACTCACGCTGGCTCAGTTTAAATAAACTGAGTGCGGACTCAGTTTAGATCTAGAGTACTGGCAGATCTTGGGTGTCAGGGGTGAGGACTGAGGGACCCAGGGATGGATCATAGCCAGGGGTCACCCACCAATGAGGGGGCCACCCAGCCCCAGCACCAGGTGCCCCAAATCCCCCCTCCCACATCCCTCTTATGGTCTGGAGTCAGGGCTGACTTCTCCTGACCTAACCGATATACGGCTCAGCTTCAGTGCCCCTTGCTATAGCACACTCCCCATGGTGGACCCCCCAACACAGAGCCTTCCTCTGTGCACATGTGTGCACGATGTGCAGTTTGTGAACACGCAAGGGGTGGGGTGATGCCCTGACTTCAGCCCTGAGCTGGAGGAATAGGGAGAGGGCAGCCTGGGAGCAATGAGCTGGTGTCTGTGGGGCTCCAGGCAGGGTGCAGGTGGAGGCTGGAAGCCAGTATGTTATTTACAAACATAGAAGCTGCTGTCCCAGGGAGAGTCTAGCGTGTGGTCAAGAGGCCCGGATGTGTTTCTCATTTCCTGAGTTCAGAAGCCCAGACGAAGAGAAAAGGCCATCTGCTCATTACCCCTCCCCTGGGGCGGGGACGGGGGGGGGGGGGGGGGGGGGGGGAGGTGGGGTAGCAGTTCCTTCTACCTGAGCTCCCAGAGAAGTCCCACTGAGGACAGTCTCCCAGTTGGGGATGAGCGTCCTCGTGTGGTGGCAGTGGGGGTGGAGGTGAGGACGGGGAGGCCAGGGGTGGTGATGGAGGTGTGACGGTGACAGCGGTGGTGGAGAGAGCCAGTTCCACGCCACTGACCAAATGAGGGCCACTCCTCTCAGCTCCTCTCCTAACTGCCAAATTCCACACATTTGCTGTCTGTGATCCCAGACATGCCTACATTCTCCTCCAGGCAAAACTAAGAAGGAAATACAAGGGCTACTTCTTCAGCTGCCGACACCCCTGCCTTTGGGAAAGGGGCTTCTTCCACTGAGTGGTGTCAGACTCGAGATGTCCTCTTGGGTCATCTCACCCATCCCTCTGCCAGGGTTCGCCCTGGTCCCGTGGGGGAAGGCGGCTGTCGGCTTCCTCATCACCTCTAG